GAGCTTGGCACTCAGTCTGGGTCTCCACCATGGGTGGTAAGGAACCACATAATTGAGCTCTTTCTTCTGCTTCCCATGGTGCATACTAGAAGCAATATGGAATTGGAAGCATAACCAGGACTCAAACACAGGTCCTCCTATCTGAGATGTGTCCAAGTGAGATCTTAACTACTATACCAAATAACAAGCTAGTAGGTTTAAAGAAAACCATTTTATTACTTTATCTCTGATCCAGAAAACACACGGAGGGCCAAAGTTCCCATCTGAGGGTTTACTCCAAATACTTGCACCTGTCTCAGAAATATGGTATAGAACAACGGTGTTCTAACTGACCTTTAGCCTGTAGGCACAACAAACACCCTAGAAATAAGTTTTGTTGATGTGCTTTATTAAGTTGGATAAACCCCTCTCTGTTTTCTATTTGTTGAGTTTTTATCAAGTGCTTCTGTTGTCAAAGATTTTTTTAGTATATGTTGATATTTAACACTTTTTGTTTAGCATGTTGAAGTGGTGGGTTACATTGACTGATATTCAAATGTTGAACCAGCTTTGCACACCTTAGGTAAATCCCACTTGACTGTGATGTGTAATTATTAGTATTCTGTAAAGAAATGAAATCAATAGGATATATGCATAGATATACAGAAGGGAATTCATCAGTGGAATTAGTTCATGCCATCATGATGACCAAGACATTCCCTGATAGGCTGTATGCACACTAGAAACCCTAAAATGATGGCAGTGTGGCTTCATTCAAGTCAGAAGAGTTTCATGCCAGTAAAATTAAAGATATAACACTCAGTGCAAAGCCAAAAGCCTGAGTACCAGCAAAACCCGCCCTAGAGTACCCTAGCATAAGTACTGGAATCCAAAGGCCATTCAACCGAGAGTTTATGACAGATGAACAAGTTCCAGCTCTCAGATAAAGAGAAACAACTTGCCTTCTTTTTTTTTTTTTTTTTTTTTTTTTTTTTACTGTTTTCCGATTTCCAACTAATTGTTGGTATTCATCAACATTAATGGTGGGTCTTTACCATCTTGTCTACTCATATTAGTCTCTTTTAAAAATACCCCTTAGACACATTCAAGATAATGGGTTTTCAGGTTTCTACATGTGCCTTACAGTATGCAAGTTCACACTTAAAATTAAGTTCCAGAATAATTATTTTCATACATTGTTGGATTTTATTTGCTAATTTTTGTTCAGGATTTTTATATGCATGTTTTTAAGAAATATGGTTCCATAGATTTCTTGTGATGTTTTTGTTTTCATATTAAATTGATGCTGGCTTCTTCAAATGAATTAGGAAGCATTCCCTCTGATTCTGTTTTCTGAAAGTGATTGTAGAGAATTCATTTCATATCATTCATAAATATTTCATAGGATTCACCAGTGAACTAATCAGGGAAAAATGCTTTCTGGGGTGGAAGGTACTCATTATTAGTTAACAGGCACAAACCTATTCAGATCGCCCATTTCTTTCTGTGTGAATTTTGGCATTTTTCATCTTCAAGAAGTCATTTCTTTTTATTTATATTATCAAATTTGTATTATTCTTGTGAGTATAAGGTGACTTCAAATTCAATCTCTGAAAACATTAGATACACTACCAATAATAAATGATTGTTTCCCAGTTGTAGGCAACTGCCTAGGCTGCCATGTACCTACACAAGTGTTACACTGCTTGGAGAAAAGCATCCAAAAGCTAGTGGGTTCTTTGGGCCTGGTTAATGCCAAATTTGTTAACTATACTAGTATGCTAACATAATTACCTTTGTTTCTCCCTTCCTCCCTCCCTTCCTTCCTTCCTTTCTTCCTCTCTCTCTTTTTCTCTCTTTCTCTCTCTCTTTCTCTTTCTCTCACTCTCGTTCTCGCTCTCTCTTTCTTTCTTTTTTTAAATATATGTGGGGAAGGCAGAGAATGACTGTCAAGGGCATGCCTTCCTAGCACCCAGGCAGGAGGCTGTAGATTGCCTGGGGAAGGGGCCCTGGGAATATATTTGAGTGGAAGCTGTTTAAGGCATGCTTGACAGGGAAGGAATGACTTTTTTGGTCTTCCATGAACTGGACCACTACACTTGTAGGTAGGCAAAGGAGCTGAGACAGAATGGTAAAACTAGAGGATATGTCTGGGTCAGGCTAAGATATCTGCCCATGTGGGAGTCTTGGGCTCGGCTAAATAACATAGAATGCCACCCACTAGCAGAGTGGTAAAATTAGAGGATATGTCTGGGTCAGGCCAAGACACCAGTGAGAGCCAGAATGGGTGTGGGTCAGTCAAGTTAGGCTGCAGTACCCATCAATGAGTGCAATGAGTCGGGCGCAATTGTGTCAGGCTGAGCTTCAACACTTTGCAATTACACACAAGATCCTGGGCTGGAAGTGGGCCTGGTGGAGGAACTTGAAGAATTTTTCTGTTAGGCTGCAGCTCTCACTGGTGAGTACAAGAGTGAGGGCTGGGGGCAGACCAGGCCTGGCTTGGATGCACCACCCATCGGTATATATGTAACACAGGTCTGGGGACAGGCTCAGCTGGACCACAAGACCCACCTGATTGTATAAGGGTTGAGGCTGGGGCTGCCCAGCTGGGGCTGCTGCACTGGTTGGTGAGAGCGGGGGTTGAGGGGTAGGTTGGGGTAAACCTGATGGTAACACCTGCTGGTGAATGTCCACTATGGGTGGGCCTACCACTGGGGTAGACCTGGAAGGGAAATTGTAGACATTCTCCTTTTGGGCTGAAGCTCCTGTTGGTAAGCATAACAGCCAGGACTGGAGGCAGGACAGGCTGCCTAAGGTAGCAGCACCTGTTAGCAAATATATGGGCTAAGCTGCAGCACACATAGCCAGATGGGATGCAGGATGGATCAGGCTATACCTTAGTACATGTCAGCACAAGCAAGTCTGGGGGCTGGCCTGTGGAGGTTATTGGGAGTCACCCTGATTAGGCTGTGGCACCCACTGGTGTGTGTAAAGACCCTGCAGTACCCCTGAATTCACATGAGAGATGGAGTTGGGGGCACAACTGACCAGGCAGCTACATCTACCAGTATGTGTGTTGGTTGGTACAGGTGACAAACTGAACCTGACCCTGTACAAGATAGTGCACACAGTAGTCAAATCTGAGGAAATCCCAGGCGAAGTTTCTTGGGGAACTCCCCAGCTAGATCACTGAACTCAAATCTCAGCCACAGGGAAGGTCGCAAGATATATAATCCAACCTTGGAGTGCATGTGCTGGAATTGAGCCTCCTCAATTGCTGGCGTCAATGCAGTGCACGACATGTCCTGATACACACTCATCTAGGGTAACAGAGGATATCAAGTGCCTTGTCAGAAGTTGGGAAACAGAACAGGTTGTACCACTCTCCTGGCCAAGCTTTGCAACATATCCCTGGGCCTGTGGATACACCAAGGTGCACTTTTTTGACCAGTAGACTTTGGAATAATTTTCTGACCCTGGTGCAATAAATCCATGTTTCAGAACTATCAAAACCACTTAAGTAATACCCTCGGAACACTCTTGCTGACATTGAGATCTCTAAGGCATCATCAGTGGCTGTATTCCATTTCCAGGTGCTGATGTAGTTTTGACAGAAAGGAGTGGCCCCCTCCATTTCCCTCTCTGCACATGCAGGAGAAAAAAAAGTATAACTTTCATCTCACCTACCTTCCTCTGTACCTCAACATTCCCCACATGGGTGTGCATCCCTCTCAACTACTTAAACAATTTTAAAAATAAAAAAATGAAAAATAATGAATAATTGTTATACCACTGAGTTTTGAGTGTTTATTTTCATAGTAGTGGCCAAACTTAAAACAAAGATAATTTCAGCTAAAGTCAATAATTATAGGAGTAAAAATGAGTTTATTTCCAATTAGCTTTTTTAAACTTGTGATCACTATAGATTGATGAAAAATTGTGAAACTAAGAGTATTCTTATTTGCCACTCACCTAACTTTTCTTAATGTTAACATATTATAGAAGTATAATATAATTGGTAACATCAGAAAATAAAAATTGTTACAGCAATATCACTAATTTATATATTTTATTTGAATTTTGCTAGTGATGCAGCAAACAACCCAGAATTCAGACTTAGTTTTATTTTATTAGATTTTGTTAGTTTCTGCTAATCTAATTCATTCCTCTATATTTGTTTGTCTTTTAAGACCTTGACATTTTGAAAAGCATGAAACAATTGTTTTGTAGAATGTCAGTTAATATGAATTTGTCTGATGCTTCCTCTTGATTAAATTCAAGTTATGCATTTCTGGTGAAAAAAGAGAAAGTATTATTGTGACCTTCTCAAAGCAGCATATCTAGAGGCACGGGATATTGATACGTCTTAATACACGATATCTATGTCAAAATTTTAACTTTGATTACTTGGTCAAGGATATATCTTCTGGATTTATCCATTGTTGAATCACTTTTCTTTCATGGTTAATAAGTGTCTTGTAAGAAGATGTCTTGAAGCAATGCAAATGTTCTATATGTCCTCATATTTAATTTTAGCAACCACTTGTTTATTTATTATATTTGTTTATTTATTATTTATTTGTTTACTTATTATAATAAACAATTTGCTTATATCGATGGTGTTTTCCTAATACTGATTTTTCTGTTTTCATCATTCCTTTTGTATTTATTAGTTAAAATTTGACTATAGCAAAAGCTATTCCTTCTCTATTTATTTAACCACTTATAACATGATGTACAATGTGTTAAAATTAATATGTGTTACTTCTTCAAATTTTCCAACATTTGGCTATTTAATTTCTTCAAGTTGTTCTTTGCATTATTACTGTTGTTGTTATTGTTGTTGTTTAAAGATTTAATTATCTCCATTGGAAACTCAGACTTGCAGAGAGAAGGAGAGACATACAGAAAGATCTTCCATCTGCTGGTTCACATACAACATGACCACAATGTCTGGAGCTAAGCCAATCTGAAGCCAGGAGCCAGGAGCGTCTTCTGTGTTTTCCAAGTGGGTGTAGCACCCAAGGCTTTGGGCTGTCCTCTACTGCTTTCCCAGGCTGCAAACAGGGAGCTGGATGGCAAGTAAAGCACCCAGGATACAAGCCGGGATCCCAGTGGTGGCAAGGTAAGGATTTAGCCATTAGGGTAACGTACTATGCCTGTGTTACTTATTTTTTAGTATCATTTTTCTTGTATCACAAGATATTCCAGGAATTTTTTTCTGAAAACTTATATATTTATTTATTAGAAGGTAAAGTAACAGAGAATGAGATCCTCCATTCTCTGTTTATCTGCCCAAATGCCTGCAATACCCAAGGTTGGGCCAAGCCAAAGCCAAGAGCCCAGGAACATGTGAAAATCCCCGTACAGATGGCAGGAAACCAAATCATTCCAGGTAATTAACAAGAAACTGAGTTGAAAATGAAGGAGCTGGGACACAAACCCACCACTCTGATATGGAATTAAGCATCAAAGTGGTGGCATAACGCACTTCACCACAAAGCCTACCCCCCAGAACATACTTTGCTTAACTCAGTTCTGGAATCCACAATTGCTTCAAAAACCTTGGTTCCTTCTTACTGTAAGATGACAATGGTAAATTAATGTCTGAAAGCTAAGCATTCTCATTATTGGTATAAGTTTCTTTCAGTTGATAGGGTCAGAAATGAATCTGTGCTTATGTACATATCTGTATTTATGTTTTTATTGAACTATTTCTAAATCTAAATGTGATACAGAAAACATGATTCCAGTCCACCAACACAGGCATCATTCTAGTTTTCTTTTACTCCTTATTTGTCATTTTTTTAATAACAAAGCTCATTCACACTATCCACAATGTGTTTTCGTATGAAAATGTACTTTTGATGATGAACAAAAAGCTTTTTCCTTAAATGTTCCTTTTTTCTTCTGAGTTTAGTTACAGTTCAAACCTCATAAAGGCAAGTATGTCAATAGAGACAAGTGGAGATTCCCAGTTCAGTAGTGCTGTGCCTTTTAATGTTGCACAAGGGATTGGGGTTGGTAAGCAAACAGAGATATTATGAATGTTTTCAAGTAACTTCATTTTACTAGATGAATATCATATTAGGTTAAGAAATCAATCATCTGATGGATTTTGTTAAGTGCCATGCTAACTCCCTTCATCAGAATTTACAACAAAAGTAGCAAATTGAGACTTAATACATTCAGTAATATTTATCAGACATGTCCTGGAAACTGAAAACAAACAAAATTAATATTATGTATTATTTTATTTTTTTAAATGATGCAACATTTATGTGAATGATACCACACAAAGCGAGCATGCACTGTTCTGGTTATGTGGTGACAAGAAGAAATGAATATCAATTAGACATTTGATTTTCATTTATTTTAAGCGTAAAATGTTAGCTATGTCATTTGAATAATGTATGTAACCATTTTAACTAATAGTCTCATTTTTCAGCTACTTAGTTTAGAAATGATAATTTAAGCTTGAAAGCATGTTTTGATTTGCAAATCTGTTACACAAACTCTTTTCCTTATAAATAAATTTCTAAACATCCATAACTTTAGAAGTGCAATACCTCTGTTATGCTCATGAAAGTCTTCATCAGTTCATTGGATATCTCATATGATCCTTTTTTATAAAGATTTTATTTCTTTTTATTGGAAAGTCAGATATACAGAGAGGAGAGACAGAGAGGAAGATTTTCCGTCCGGTGATTCACTTCTCAAGCGGCCGCAATGGCTGGAGCTGAGCCAATCTGAAACCAGGAGCCAGGAGCCAGAAGCCAGGAGCCAGAAACTTCTTCCGGGTCTCCCACGTGGGTGCAGGGTACCAAGGCTTTGGGCCATCCTCGACTGCTTTCCCAGGCCACAGGCAAGGAGTTGGATGGGAAGCAGGGCCGCTGGGATTAGAACCGGCGTCCGTATGGGATCCCAGCACGTTCAGGGCGAGGACCTTAACCACTACGCTATCGCACCGGGCCCTCATATAATCTTCTTTTAAGCTATAGAAATGTCAGTTGCCATGGCAAGTGTGAGGTTTGCACTCATTATTTATAAGATTGTCTTAGGCACTATCTTCTCACAAATAACAGGTGAATATTGAGCACGTTTTACCAACTTTTTGCTATCCAAGCATGCACGAGAAAATAGGAGACTTAAGGTAAGAAATTTAAATTTAATCTTGAGCAGTACTTTTCTTTTAGTGAAGGAAATGAAGCCCTCAGCTATAATCTTGAAGGTGAAATTTGGATTTTTTTAGTAAGGTATTAATAAATTAATACATTTAAAGATTTTGCTGTGGATTAGGTGTGATCTCTTATTTACGTAGAATGGAGTCCTCTCCCTACTGACTCCTAATAAGGTGATGTGAAGGGCCTGGCGTGATAGCCTAGTGACTGAAGTTCTCATCTTGCATGTGCCAGGACCCCATATTTGTGCTGGTTCTAATCCCGGCAGCCCCACTTCCCTTCCAGCTCCCTGCTTTGGCCTGGGAAAGTAGTCCAAAGCCTTGAGACCCTGCACCCGGGTGGGAGACCCGGAAGAAGCTCCTGACTCCTGACTTCAGATTGGTGCAACTCTGACCATTGCAGTTGCCTGGGGAGTCAACCATCGGATGGAAACTCTTCCTCTCTGTCTCTCCTCCTCTCTGTATATCTGACTTTGCAACAAAAAGAAATAAATCATTTAAAAAATGCTATATGTACTTAGCATTTAATGGGAAAAGAACCAAGAAGTCTATCTGGTTCAACCAATGCGGAGAAGTGACACACATTAGAGTGATGGGAAAAATTTCAAGAACACACCTCCTCATGTTGGCAGGTTTGATACCAGATCAGTCTGTGACATTTGGTATACAGAGGAAGTGTAGTATCTTTTCTTTATCCATCACAAGATTCATGATTGACTCCCCTTAAACCAGATTAACAAGAGAAAAGTACAACATATTTATTTAACTAAGATTTATGTGACACTAAGATGAAGGCCCAAAACCAAGGGAAAACAATTTTTATGCTGAGGTTCAATAAAGAATGCACAAATATACAGATATGATTGGACAAAAATAGTATGCTCTGATGTGAATAAATCTCTACATCTCTGCATACTGCAGGTTTAGGGCAGGATCTTCGTCACAGGAAACTATAAGGTGAGAAAGTAGGCAACTTTTTTTTTTTTTTTTTTTGGCATTAGAGGACAAAGGCAAGAGAAGGCCAAGGAGTGACATTTCTACTGCTGCTAGGGAGCCATGTTTTGTGGTATCATATTTGGAACCCTGACAATGGAATAACAATAACTTCCAGATATTTTGCATAGTATGTTACATACTGTGGATGATTTGGGGTGAAGGGGAATCTGTGTTTCATTTATCTATTATCACAACTTTGTGAAATAGACAACATATCATTCCTGCTATGTCTTGTGGGAAACCAAGCAACAGAGATTTTAGAGTAATTATCTTGCAGATTGACCCAGGTGATGGGAGATATCTCTGTTAAAAAAAATACAAATTAAACTGCCTTTGGGCCAAGTGCTTAGCATCAATCTCACCACAACTTCCATTCACCTTTCTGATACAGACCACCAGCGTCTCTCGCGAGGAGTTTTTCTATAGCTATCCAGTCTCTAGCTTTTCCTTTATCCCACGAACTGTATTCTCCACACATCAGTCATAAGAGTCCTGTTAATACACACTGGCAATTCTGCCTTCTTTACTTTCCTAAAAACCCTCCAAAGGCTTTCAATTTTACTCAAAAGGCAAACCTTTAAAACTTTCTATAAGAGAAAACCTCACTCTTCTTAGCTCTTTGACCCATGTACTCTCTTCCTCTTTCACAAAGCTCTTGGTGCACTGGCCTTCACAGTCCATCTTTTCTGCCAGAAACATGCTTTTCTCAAATTTCCACATGATTAATTCCCTTCCTTCACAAAGTTTTTGCTGAAATGTCACTTTATCTATGAGACTTACCCTGGTCATCCTGCTTAAAGTCTTTTTTCCCATTACAGGTCTAACCCTCTCTTTTGGTTTTATTTTTTTTGTCATTGCTACCCTTTTATGTTCCATACTGAATATGTATTTTTGATGTTTATTATCTCTTTCCCTTTCTCAATTTAATAATACAGGGGTTTTCACTTATTTTCTTCTTTTTTTCTTCTGCTAATATACTGCAAGTGTGCAAAAGAGTGCCTGGTACACAGCAGGCATTTAAGATTTCCTAAATGTCAAGTAATTGTATTCTGCTGGCAGTACTGCCAGATGGGTATTGTACCTCTTTCTTAGCTGCACAAATCAAGTTGTGGGATGTCAAATTATTTTTTGCACTGCATACAATGAGGAAGCTGCTAACCTAGAATCAAGACACAATTTTCTCAGTACAGTGTTTTATACTGTATGGTAATTTTTCCTAATTTTAAACATTATTTAATGTATTTTTGAAACAGAGGAATGAGAGAGTTAGAGAGAATTTCTGTTTTCGCTCCAGTCCTCAAATAGCTACAGTGTCCGGGAGTGGGCCATATCAAGGATGGGAGCCGGAAGTTCAGCTCAGATCTCCTATGTGGGTGACGAAGTCCCAGCTTCTGCAGTCAGCATTTTCTATCTGCAAGGATGTACATCATGAAGTAGCTTAAGTCAGGAGTGAGACTCAAGTTTTCATCCTCTGATATGAGATGTGTTCATCCCAAAGCAATATCTTTGCTAATATGCCAAATGCCAGAACTTGTGTGGTGATTCTGATTGTTATGTTGAGAGCCAAGGCATGAAGATGTCTCAAAAGAAGAGTATTGCCAGTAGGGTCACAATTTTCATTAAAGCCAGAAAGAACGATTGAGATAAAAGACTATGATTCTTTGTAGTGAGTCAACAATACAGTGACCTTTGTCAAAGTGATTTCAGTAACACATGAGCCCAATCCAGAGAGCAGTTGATGAGATAGTGAATGGAAAGGAGGTAAAAGAGTGCATTGTTGCTGCACTTCCAACTTCTAGGAAGGAGAAGGAGAAAGGCTATAGTTCCAGGAAAGGAACAATTCCTTTTTCAGAGGAGTGATACTCAATCATATTTCTACACTTGATCTTAGTCAAAAAGCCGAGAAGCAATCAATCATGTTTCTAAGAGGAGATACAGGCAAGTTAAAA